TTTTTTTTTTTTTTTTTTGAGTTCAAACTATGTTTGAACTCAGGTCCTTGTGCTTGCAAGGCAGGTGTTCCACCACTTGAACCAAAACACTTTTTATTGTTCAAGACACTTAGCTATTTTCCTTTTGGGACCTTGACCTGTGAATTTCTTTCCAAGTCTCTCCATGTCACTATGGTGTCACCCATCTTTGCTGTGCCTGGTTTGGGTCTAGTTCTTGGCAGTACTCCAATGGCTGCCTTGGGGATTATTAGGTAATATTTGCAGCAGTAAACCATTTCTTGTTAGAATATCTTCCCAAAGTTTTCTGTGGGACACATTTGCTTTGTGAGAGATGCAAGGAAAGGTGTCTTTGATTACATGAATTTGATAAATGACACATTAAACAAAGTTTCTTTCTATTGGGTTTTTCTAATGTGTATCATGAATTTCTAAGCGAGGTAGAGTATGTAACTTACTCCAGTTTATTTAACCTAACAGCAGTGTTTTGTTTATTTGTTTAGAATACCTGTCCACAGGTTATTCATGTGAGACCATTTGAGAACTGCTGTACTAGGCACATAATCCTTATAAAAATAGTATTTTTGAGTTAATACTGACTTTTTTTTTTTTTCCTGTACTGGAGTTTGTGTTCAGGGCCTCAGACTTGCTAGACAGGCACTCTATCAACTGAGCCACTGTGTCAGCTCTTTTCTTTGTGTGTATGGTGGAGATTTTTTGAGACAGGGTCTCACTTTTGTTGCATGGGCTGGCCTTGAACCATGATCCTCCTGATCTCTGCCTCCTGAGTAGCTAGGAGTATAGGTATGAGCCACCAGTGCCCAGGAATATTGATTTTTATACTATAAGAGAAGCATTTCTTCAGAGTCATGTGGAAAAAGGGTATTTTTTATATTTGCTTTCAATATAAGACTTATATGTGCACAAATATAGATTTCTCTAGCCTAGGTGTTTTCCCCCTCTTTAGGATGTGAGGTTCAAACCCAAGATGTTGAGTATGTAGGCAAGTACTCTACTTCTGAGCTGCAGTTACACCCCTAGCCTTCTTGTCCAGGTTTCTGTCAGCACATTTCTTGTTTATTGGTTCTTTGTAATCTAAACTTCTAGGCAAATGGTTATTTCTTGGGAGAAGCCTCTTTTTCCTTCCCTTTGATACAGTAGTGTCTTACATCTGGCATTAGAAACTCTTCATTCATTCATTCATTCATTCATTCTCCAAACCTTGAATGTCTGATACGTGCCACTAAGTGTGCTGGGTATTTGTATATAGTTGCGATGCACAGGTACCATGATGCTATATGTAGGAGATAGGAACTCAAAGGTGGAATGTCAGGAAAAGTTCCTGGATAATGGGATACTTGAATTAGTTCTGAAAGAGGAACAGTGTCTGACAGTATCATAACAGGGGCACTGAGGCTGAGGAAGGTGCAGTAGAACCTCTGTAAGGGGTTCTTCAGGGTTGGAATGTAGCTGAGGAAGAGAAGGCAAGGAAGACAGGACCTGCAGGTTGACTGTTCTTAACCTGCAACTATATGCAAATATCTAGTACATCCAGTGCCTTGGAGCACTATCAGGCATTCAGAGTTTGGGAAATGAATGTATAATGGTTTCTAACACCTTGCTGTATCAAAGAGAAGGAAAAAGAGGCTTCTCCCAAGAAACAACCATTTGTATAGAAGTTTAGGTTACACAGAACCAGTAAACAGTGGATGTGTAGTATGAGTCAGAATTTCAACCTTTTTTTTTGTTTTGGCAGTACTGGGGTTTGAACTCAGGGCCTACACCTTGAGCCACTCTACTAACCCTTTTTTGTGAAGGATTTTTTTTGAGATAGGGTCTTGCGGAATTATTTGTGTAGGCTGGCTTCAAACCTCAAGCTTCCTGATCTCTGCCTCCTGAATAGCTAGGATTATAGGCATGAGCCACTGGTGCTTGGCTAGGATTTCAACTCTTGATCAGAAGAGGCAAGAATCCCCTGCCTTGTGACTGCTGGGATTACAGGCATGTACCACCATGCCTAGCCTTGAGCTCTTCTGATGCAAGAGATGTTACCATTTTCACTCTTGTGTAACTCTTTACAATTTTGCTTTTATTTTCCAGAGAAGAGGAGGTATCTTGCAGTGGGCCTCTGTCCCAAAAACAAGCAGAGTTTTTTCTTTCTCAACAGGTATGTTAATTTTGTAATTTATTAGTAGCTTTTTTTTTAATCCTCTGACATTCTGAGTCATGGCCTATCCCCGTTATGTTAGTAAGTTTATTAGTATATCTGCATTATCCTTTACTCTTTACCAACAGTGTCATGCTTTTATTTTTATATTAAAATTATAATGTAGGTTATTTTAAGTAATAGTATGTGACTATGCTCAACATTCCAAGAACATGTAATTTGGAAGACTTGCTTTCCTCTTCTCATTATTTTATT